AAGTGCAGAGTCCACACTTGGTGAGAAATAACCACATGCATCAGTACAGGTTAGGGGCTAATCTGCCCTGTAGAGAATGGCCCGGGTGCCCTGGTGGACAACAGGATGGTCCTGAGCCAGCAGTACGTCCTTGGGGCAAAGAAGGCCATACAGAATTGAAGAGCTTCTTTACTTTCAGGATGCCACGGCACTGCCTGCCAGAGAGGCTGTGGAGTCTCCTGTGAAAATATTCAGAACCTGCTAGGACGCTTCCCTGTGTGACCTGCTGTAGGGAACCTGCTTTAGCAGTGATTTGATCTGCATCATCTCCAGAGGTCCCTTTCAACCCCTCCAATTTCGTGATTGTGTGAATGTTATTCTTAAACCCAGGGTATCTGCTCACCTAATACATGACCTTAGGCAATGTGTTCTTCCTTTGCTGGCAGCTCTCCAAGAAATAAGGCAACAGCAGCTTAGATTCCCTTCCTTCCTGAACATCAGGAGGCAGTTACTTAAAAAGAATGCCTTTTTTCATGACAGATCTGTGATCTTTCCTTGAATGCCTAGGCTGAGCATGCTCTGGGAGATTATTTTGATGCATCTTGACGGTATCCTTAGATCAGCTGTGCTGTTTGCCAATGGGGTTGCCTTAATTCCTTTGTTCCCACTCTCATTGTGACCATGTGGTTCTTTCTGCTGCCTTAGTTTTTGCATCTGAATCAGTTAATTCTGACGTCAAAGCTACTTGCTATCTGCTTTCCTGGAAATAATGTTATGCAGGCTTGGGGAGCTGGGTGACCTCCAGAGAGCTGGTGTGGGACTTCTGGTGGGAGGAAGAGACAGGGGCACGTCTGGGGAGAGGATGGGAGGGCACAGTGGTGACTTGCTCAGCTTGTCTTCTCTGATGGTGCCTGCACTGTATGACTTTAAGGCTTGCATCTGTTAAAACAAGTATTTCTCATTATCTTTTTGTTTTGCTATTGCCGGAACACCGCTTCAGTACTCTTGACTTTATTCTAGAATTCTAGTCTGCTTTCACTCCTTTCCCTCAGTGAGCTGCTGAGGAGCTCAAGGCAGTTTAATCCATCTTTGGCAGGGCTCTGTGCCACATATCACTCAATGTTGGTGGATTTAACTGGAAATGAGTAGCTGGAAAAAAATGAAAATAAACAGCTGAAGTGGTATTGTGATCTTACAGTACCATTTAGATTAGCCTTCCCTACACCCTGCAAATAAATAAATAAAAATAATCATGCATTTAATTTGAGTGATTAATTTGAGTGATTATTTAGGCTTGTAGTATTTAACATACATGTGTTACAGGTAGCTTGTTCTTATGGGAAGCCTGCAATTCTGCGTTAACACTGGGTAGAAGAGCTGTAAAATCTGTAACATCTCTGTAACATCTTCCATCTCCTTCAGCAGAGGATGACTGTATCATTGTGCATTTAACAAAAGCCAAGAGAAAAGATTGAGTCTGCAAATTGTACATCCTATGGAATTACCAGCATTGCTTTGACCTTCTTTCAGTTAGGGAGCAGCCGTTTGGAATGGATCTCTAGATTAGCCTTGTGAGAAACCAAGAAAATAAGATCAAGTAGCTCAAACAACTGATTGTTCATCCCAGAAACAGGATGGAAATCATTAGAAGTGTGCCTATAAATGAGGATTATATATCATTTCTGTTTTAAAAAAAAAAGCTACTTTTACATTTGCCTTGATAAACACAGTTAACTTTTTTCTTTGTGCTTTTCTAGAATAAACAGAAACTGCCCACATATTTTTAGTGGGGAACTTTATCTTCTGATAAGAGTTAGGTCAGTGGGTGTCTATAGAATGCTGTTGCGTTACTTTGCCTGGAGATTAGGGTTGAAGTCAGTGTACACTCTTGAGCAACCACAAGCTTAGCTAGCTCTGTTATGAGAGCTAGTTCTTTGTGCTGACAGGCAGTGAAAGCCTAACTGAGTCTAGTAATTTGTTAATGAGCTGAATGTCAGAATACTGAAATCTATAGTTCTATATCAGGTGAACTGAACTATAGCTAATTCTTGTTTTCTCCTAATCTGCTTCCCTCTCATTCTACTTTCTCCATCCTGTTTTCATCTCTAACAACTCTGCTGTGGAGTTGACCAGAATGGTAGCTACTGTAGCTAGCAAATAATGTCTTACTTGTGTGCACAAATGTACAGGCTCAGAGAATATAGAGAACAGGAGTGAAGACACTACACCCTACCACAGCTCCTAGCACATGTGCTCCTCTTACCAAGAAAATAAAGGCACTTCAGAGATTGTATGACTAATTCCTGTCTCTGTCAGACCACAGGTCAAATGCTCATAATTTAAAACTAGCCTAATATCAATAATTTCTCTAATCTGAGTTGTGTTGACTTGTGTTGACTACATAAAGTGAGTTTTTATTAGTACTCACCGTAAAAGTGAACAAAATTCCAGATCTGTTTCAGGCAGCTCTTTGACTGCATATTTGCTGATGGGCCTTGTTCCTGATGCTGATGATTCTGGTTGTAATCATAAATTGGTTCTCCTTGTTACTGTGTCTAAAGACAAATTATTTGAAATTTCATTGTGCTTAACAGTGATCTGGTGCTGTCACCTACTTGGCATGTACACTGGTATGTTCTTCTGCTCGTCCTCTCACCTATGCTACTCAGAAGTATTATAGATCTGTAGTAATTTAAACATGGGTGGAAGCCTTTCTTGTTTGTTTTTAATTTTAAGGTATTTTTAATTTAAAGGTACTGACAGGGTTGTCTGAGGCCAGCTATGTCAAACATTGCTTAGTGATAACAAAATTCCAATGCTCTAGTGGGTTAATAATAGCCTGCTTGGGTCAGCGGGCACCAAAATCCAAGCTGTGATGATAGAGAAGTCCCTGTCTTCATATGACATTAAAAATAAGTCAGATGTGTCAACAAAGCAGGGTAATAGGTGGTAGAGCAAGACCAACAACGTATGCCATTGCAGTTTATTTTTATCATTCTAATGTGCTTTAGCATATAACTAATTAATCAGATGTTCTTGCACTTCATGAACAAAAAAGAGAGGACCTTCTTTAAATCTGAAGTCCAAACAGAACTGAAATCTGTCTTTGCTGCATTATATGAAGTCAATTTGCAGCCTCTATGCTTCCTCTGAATAATGGCAGCCAGAGCTCATCTTATGATTTGAAAGAAAATTTGAGGGTGGGATTAATTGTTTGGAAGGTGTCGGGAGTCCTTCCTCACCACTGTACTTCCTGAGCTAACTCATTTTTCACATCTGTGATTGTACTCCCTGTGTGATGGGGAAGGGACAGCCAGCAGATCCAGGCTCTGCAGATTGTTTTACCTCTGATAACTTGCTCCAAGTCTTATTCCTTCCAAAAATAAACCAGGAGTTAATGGGATGCCTGTTCATCCACTCTCCATGGCCTACATGAGGTGAGCCGTGTATTTGCGAGAAGTGGAGAGTATGAACTGAACTAATTCTCTTGTGCAGTAAATATGATGAGGCAGAAAATGCAGGGCTTGTAGCAGATGTGCACAGAATGACCTGCTGTGCCCTACGGGAGGGACCAGGGAGAAGGACCATCCTTGATACTCATAGAAATTAACTGACCCACTTAAAAAAAGACTTGGCATCATTTCATTAGTGTTGGTAAGTGTGCTGACTTAACTTTACCTTCCTGCTGGTGCGTAGACTTGTAATGTGCTGGCAACAAGAAGATAAGAATAGCTGTGGACTGCAGATAAATCAGTGCTGAGGGAGGTGAAAACGATGCAGTTTTATCACTGTGGTTGAGGAAGGAAAAGTAGATTGTGTATTTAAAAATGTAAGCCGTTTGGGATTGTTTTATATTGGTGCCTGGACATCCTTAAAAATGAGTTTTGAATGAGGGACTGGAAGAAATAAGTTGGGAGTGTTCAATGGGCTTGAAAACGTTTCTGTGCGCTTTTACTATCTTTATTTTTTTGGAATATTTGGAAACTTTGGAATATTAAGTTCTGTATATGAACTTGTGGCCTTCAAACTTAAGTCTGCAAAAGAAAAGAAAACCAACTCATTCTTTGCACTTGTTTGGTGGAAAAATTCCCACAGGAGCTGCCCAGGTTCTAAACAGCACGTTAGAATCATTTTCATCAAGTTTGAGAGAACACTGTAAAAATCGCCTTTGACAAATCCCAAGTACTCTTTGCATCCAAAACTGCAGACGGATTTGGTGAGTTAAGTGGTGGCTGTGTTATGTCAGAGAAGAACTTGACAAAACAATAGCTGCTCTGTTAGAGACCTGGGCTGCTGTGAAAACTGTTCAGAGCAAATCTCCTGAACTGTTCCGTAAAGAATAGGATTGTTGAAGATTTGTTTTCGGCACTAAGAGAGCCATTGATACAGAGATGCATATCTGTGCTTTCTGGCTCAGTTGAGATTTGTTTCTGAATGTGGCCTGCAGTAGAATTGACAGAAGATACTCCTATCCTTTTTTCCCTCCCTGCTTCTTCAACAGTTCTTATTTGAAGTAAAAATAGTACTTTTGTCTGTTGAGGCCAGCATTTTCAGGTCTGAAGTCGCTGCTTTCACTGGCAAAATATTTCAACCCAGAGAACTAGAGCCGCTTGGTTTCCTACGAGTACAGTGTAAGCCAGGTGAACTGTTCTGCTCAGAACAGGATCTTCAACATAGCGAAGACACCTGGTGCAATGGGACCTGCCTGTGTCCGGGCTGTGCAGGTTCTGTGACAGGAGATGCTGTGCTGTGTGTGGGGAAACATAAATGAAATCACCTCCTCCTGCAGATGAGACTCGTGGTTGTTTCAGAATAATAAAAAAAATAACCCAGATGTGGACTGATGGTAAAATAGTCCTTTAAAATAATAATAAAAAAAATAATTAAACAAGGATTACATGTTAATGCAGTAATGCAGTATCCTTCATTGAGAGTGACGTTTTATATTCTGTTTTCTGTTGCAATAGATGAAAGCACACTTCATAAATATGTTTTGGCATTATGATAATATTTAGGCATGTGATTTTACAACAGGTTACAACAGACGTTACTTATAACTTGTTCAGGCTCACTGGTATCTTAATTGATTCAAGAGCAAATTTTGTGGCTGTTTTGTGTGTGTTGTGTATTCTGTGGACAAGCAGCACTACTTCTCTTCAGCCATCTTCTAAATGCAGTTTGTAATGCTGTGTGACTAAATGCTTTGTTTCCTTCCTCTCTCCTTTAAGAAAAAAAACAAACAACCAAACTAACAAACAGGCAGCCAACAAACAAACAATAATTACAGAGGTATGTAATTTTAAATTGCAAGGAAAGCAGGCGAGTTGGAAGTCTGAAGATTGCTGGAGCTGAGAGTTTAAAATGAACATGAGGCAGTTAGGTGCCATGCATCTGCTACCCTTTTCATTTCTGTTCCCATCTGCTTACGTATTTAATGTTAATAAAGAAGTCCTGAGGACTTTCTGCAAGTTTCTAGGTGTTTTCTTGAGGAAATGGGCTGTGCTCTCAGGACTTTTCAATACAGAACTTTGTTATATGTATATGTATGCATAGCTACCTCTCAGGTGACTCAATACTGCTCAGTTAGATGGTAGTGAGAACAAGGTTAGCGCCATGCCTGCTGTCTGCTTGAAGCTGCTGGAAATATTTGCAGTGAGATCCAGCATAGATCTTATTTATGTCACCTCTTGCCATAAGGAGTTTTATGAATTCCCAGCTATTTGATCAGCATTACCTTAATTTGATCCCATATTTGTCCTAGCTTGGATTTATTTGGTTTTATTCAACATGATTACAGAAGCAGTAAGATATCAGTTGGTCTGGAATTTTGCCTTTCGGCTGTATCTGCAGGAGCCTGGTGCTCAGCTGTGTGTTAGCTGAGCAGAGATCACAGTTCAGTCCCATGATACAGCACATGTTTGACCAATGGAGTGAGTTTCTTAGATAAGTGTGTGTATGGTTACATAAGAAGTAGTAACTTATTAGCAGACAGTTCCTTGAATAGACAAGCTAAAGGACGTTCTTGAGTACAGAAAGTCTTTCTACAAATGTTTTATCTTGTTGGTTGGTTGAGACGTAGGCAGATGGGGCTGCTTGGTGGCAGTGCTATAGTGTGCGTTTTCCTGCCGTGGTTTCTGTTGTATCTGCCTGTTTTCAGGCTTGCTGAAACTAACCGTGGTTGTTCTCTGCCCAGATGGAAACTTTGGCTATTAGGAAAACTCAAGGCAATGGGGAAAGAATATACAGCCCCCTTATTTCTAAATGAAAGACAAATAAGATTGGGAGATCTTTTCCTTTAAAAACTATTGCCTGTATTGAACTACAGTATGGTATAAGCAAAGATTTGAAAGCTGGAATATGAGATGCCATAGAAGATGATATCACTTCTAAATTTGAAACTGAGGTCTATGAAATCTGTGTTACCAACCTTCCACAGAAGTCATGGTCTGAAATGTTCTGTTTATTTATTTATTTTTAATCCAGATCAGTTTCCTGATTCAGCTGTTTAATTCAATAGAAAAAGGTTGTCAGAAGAGCTGTCGGGTCGGTGTGCAATATTCCAGCGTTAAGTATTTGGGATAAGTTTAAACTGAGATGTTTAAACTTGAGATGAACAAGGAGAATTTCAGAATAGCTTGGTGAGGTGTTACAGTAGCTCTGCCACTATTTAGCTGTTGTCTTGCTGTAGTGCTTTGGGTAAGGAACAAAGCACTTAATGAAGGGGAGGCTGGTAAGCTTTTTTTTTTTTTTTTTGTAAGAATAAAAAATTCTTTATAGTAGATTGATAATGTTTGTAATGATATATACATATATATGTATTGTGTGTGTGTGTGTATGTACACACACACACATATATATATAAATATAAACCCAGTCTCTTGTTTTAACTTAATCTTTAGCTGACGAATTAGTGGCAGTCATTACCTCTAAGCAATACTTCCTTAACTTCAGTGTCCTCACATCATCTTCCTTCGTCATCTGGCCATCTCAGCAACGTTATGTAATAGTTCTCGTTTACAGGGAGTGTAATACTATGTGTCACTTCTCCCTATGTTTTTTAACACGATCCTTACCCGGCTATGGGAAATGTCTCGCTTTCTGTTCTTTTTGTTCCTTTCCTCCCCCTGCCTTTTTCCTTGACTGTAAACAAGACTGAAATCAGCAGGTTCTTTATAAAATCTCTTGTGATAAATATTCATTAGAGCGTAGGAGTGCTACTGAAGGTCCGTTTGTTTTAATAACGTTGTAGATCCTCCTTTATGGCAGTAGTACAGGTGTATCCATGTGCTGCTGTGAATTCTTTCACTGCTGAAGAATAAACAGAAATCCTTGTAGAGTGATTGGAACTGTACTTTATGGAAAAAAAACCCAAATCTAATCAGTATTTTACTTTAAATTTTCACATCCGCTTATTATGAGAATTGCTGTTGTGTCATGAATGTGTTCCTTGTCCCCAGCTTTGATGTCTTCTTATTAACAATAAACAATATTGCTTTGGAGCGATTGAGGTAATTACACGTGATTTCTGTACTTCCGATTTCAATAGCTGGTGTGTTATGGTTGTGAAAGCTTGCTTCAAGGTATGGTTTTAGCCAGCTGACTAACACATTTCCGTATTAAATTACTCTTCTCTGTCTTTGTATGTGCTGACTTCATATGCAAGCTTTAACTATTGCAGTGTTAAAATAATGATCCATACGAAGACCTCAGTTTTAAGAAACAAAGTACAGAAATACTCATGTAAATAGTGGGGACACTTGGCCAAGCAGAAAGTAGCCTTCAGAACTGTTATTCGTGTCACAAAGACCAAGATGGGAGCTTGATAGCGTTCAAAAATACAGATTGAGAAGTAAGCTAAAAACCCATAAGCTACCTAATGTACATGTTTTCCATATAATATGAATATGTTTATATAAATGTATGCCTACGTATATATCAAATTTATTTTTGTATCACTGCTAATGATCTGATGAAAATTAGAGAAGAACTAAAGCTGTACTGAGCCCTTGTGTGCAAGTCTTCTGTCTTCCACGATTCTTTCCCAGGGATGTACCTCTACTGTTCCCCTGCCCTTCTCCTTCGTCTCCTGGGAAGCGCCAGTTCCCTTGCAGCTTCCAGTCCTCTTGCAAAGGACTTGGTGCCCATCCTGGCGTGAGGTCAGAAGCTGGAGCAGCAGTTTGTTGCTGCCTTGACAGATCTGTAGTCTGAGTTAAACAAAATGTTGGAGGTCAGTCATGATGAGCAATGTGGGAAAGCTCTGCTGAGTTTAGGAAAGGTTTTGCAAGAGGGCGGGCAGTTGAAGAGCAATTTTCCATGGGCTGAACTAGCTGGTACAGTCCTGTTTCAAACATTTGTCTGCGTTATCTTAAACTGATCTTGAAATTGCAGTGGGTTGAAAAATATATATTTACTGAACCTGTTAATAAAAAATGGGAAAAAAAAGTCTTGATTTCTTCATAGATTCCACTCTATGAACTCTAACAGGTACATGTGAATAACACATACCTGTCTTCCCCGTGAGAAACTTTATACTTGCTCTATTTTATCAAAGTTTTCTAAAGGTAAAATGTAAGTGTAAAACAGAGCAAGCTGTCTGCAATGAAGAAATTTTAATGTAATCTTAATAAGGATTTAAGGCAATATTGCATAAGGTGCAAACTGCTATCCCAAAGTTTATCTTGTTTTGAATTGCTAAAAATCCATCTGAGTTCCTTTCTCAATGTGCTGCTGAAGCCTGACGCAGACAGCATATAATCTGGAGATTATCATGAAACACAGTTGTATCATACGCAGTGTAATGTAGTTTCTTAAGCTGAATTGAAACTGTGACCAGTTATTAGAACAGGTAAACATTTGAGGAAGAAAATTTCTTTTAATTCTATGTTTTGGAACACTTTTCAAGTTTGAGCTTTAAACTCCACTTAGAGATGTTACGTTTTCTATTGAAAAGTTTCTTGATGAAGATGAAAGTTATGACCTGATTATGGCTACCAGAAAAGCCAACTAAAAAATTCCTCACCTGCAATTTCAAGATAAAAATTTTACCCTATTAAAAGAGGTAAATAGATGAAACTACTGTTTATCTCAATTATCCTTTTTTTAAAATGAGCTGTTTTTTTTTTCTTGGCCAACTAGGTGAAGAGTATATTTTGAACAACTGCGTGTAGTGTTTTACATCTTTATTTGCAGATTGCAAATTTTTGCTATTAAAATCTAAATAATAACTTCAAAGCTAACATTTAAAAAGATTTGTGTATAGACCAAGTTAGTGTTACTTCATGATTCTGGTCATCTCAAGTTGTAGGCACTGTGAGAATGCTGCTAGAGCTGTTCTAGGGTCACACATGGTATCCTTAGTTTTTGGGTGATAGCAAAACATTCAATGGTAATGCTTCTTTGTTAGATGTTACTTGGCTTAGTCTTAAATTAAAAGAGTTGTAATTCCTGGTTTCTTCAGAAAGCACTTTTTCAGTGTAAGGTTTACATTCTGTGTTACCTTTTTTTGTTTTTCAGTCACAGAAATCCTGGATAGAAAATACTTTCACCAAGAGGGAGTGCGTGTATATTATACCAAGTTCAAAAGACCCCCACAGGTAGGAAGAATGCATAATGTTATTAGCTACTCAATCTCTATTAAGTACCGTTTTCTGTTTTCTTACCTTCACTGTTTTTTGTCTGGGCCTTGCCATTCTATGTGTCTTGATTGGATTTATTTTTTTCTTGAATTTATTTTACATTGTAGAAATCTCTAATCAATGTTCTCCTGTTGTCTTTGTTTCTTCTTACCAGTCCTAGTGATGTCTTTGCTGTCTACACTGTGGGCTGATGGTTTTTTTTTCAGTTCTCTTTCGGTGGCATAGTTCTGAAAAGTGAGAAAGTCTCAGAGAAATACTGAATTTTAAGAATAACTGTCTGTATGGTAACATATAAAAGTAGACCTGACAGTGAAATAAGAAGGGATGAAGAATTTGTAGAAAGAATAAAGAAAAATGAAAATTATGTTGGGGCAGGGATGAAGGTGGGAGTAGTTCCTTCCAAAACAGAGAGTATAAACAAAAGAAAAATAGTTCAGGTATCAAAAGATTCCATATCACTTCTAGTTGTTTTTCATCCTTTAGGATCTGTAAGGAAAAAATGAATTTGGAAAATGGGGAAATACATTTCCAGAGGGGAAGCTGAGACTAATGAAGGACATCTTCCAAACGTCTGGTTCTGTTTTACTGTATACTAATTCAGAGATATGAAATCAAGCAACAGAAACATTACATTTACTTTCAGCAATTGTTATAAAGATGATTTCTTTGTTCCTACAATGCGTGAACTTGATGTGCACAGTCACAACATCTACGTTGCAGATGAAAGTCAAGTAGATTCTAAGTTGGTATTTTAGGCAGTTTTGTCTAATCAAAATATGAACTATAAGTTATAAATCAGCTTTGTTCTTTTGGGAGCAAGGTATTGTTTCATGTTTTATGTCTAAGAATTTGTTTTTAGGAAGAAAAAGAACAAAGTAAAAGCTTTAGAACTTTGAAGCTAATGTAAATAGTTCACTGTGTTCCCTGAAACCACGTGATGTGAGAAGCATTTAGAATTTATAGCCATGATTGTAGCACATGGAAAATTTACAATTGCAAACAAAGTAATTAGGAAGCTGTTAAAATTCCCAGAGCATTTCCCGAAGAACTAAATGATCTCCTACACTTGCCCTTTTAGGTTAACTCATTTACAGCATATAGGGACTTTACAACTTTCCCATCAGATGCCCTTCAGACTTGACACATTGCTTGCTGTTGTTTTGCTGCTGTTCTGGAATTGAGCATAAAAGAATGAGATGCAGATGGGAGAATTCTGTAGCTATCCTTGATCCATACCTTTTAGCATATACTTTCACAACTGCTAGAGAAGGTCTGAAGCTAAAGGTGCAGTATGGAAATGTAGATGATTAGTAGCCAAGTGTAACTTCTAAAGAGGACACAAATAAGAAATTATTTCTGCTGAAAGCCTGCACATTATTTAAGGTTACTGTGTAAAATATGTTGTTCTATGCTCTTGCACACCAGCTCTTAACTCTTGTTGTGGTTAAGTAAAAATTGTGGAAAACAAGCGATAGAATTTTGTATCTGCTATACTACTATTAAACATTAATAAAACAATTCTCAGGAAAACAAAATAAATATTAAATATGAAAGAAGGTAAAGATTTGTTTTTGTTTAATAAACTTATTGTGTAAAGGCACTGTTCTATGAGATTTGTTCAAACATGTCTTTTTCTGTAGGTGCAGATGGGAAATGATGGAATAGCCTTCCCACATAGGCAGCTCAGCTTGAATGTGTTAGCAGTGCAGAGGCAATGATGTATTGTTAGAATTTGTCAAAGCAAATGCTGGTCTAAGTAACTTCTTGGCACCTGGCAAAGTGTTTCTATTTGAGTACTGCATAATCCAGGCTGAAATGTTCTTGGACTTCAGATACCAATGGTCCAAAGACTAAAAAGTGATTTGAAAGCTCAGAATTGAAGCTTTCACATTTATGCATTTTTGCTTGAGATGTCTACAGCAGTCACATAAATTAGAGAAGTTACCATGTTTAAAATGGGCAAACTTCTGCAGCTTGTTTTCCTTTTACTGTAGGGCAGTAATCTTTTTGTAAGCAGGTGAAGTGGTATGAGTGGCATTTGATCTGTGTTTGTTTGTTTGTTTCTCCACCCACTCTCACTCATCCCTTGAAATTTAAGCTGATGTTTACTCATGTATTTAAATACTTCTTATAGATGCCTTCCAGGATGTCAGATTTGTCAGCAACTTGTCAGGTAAGAGTTCTTTTAATTAAGATATTTATGAATAGGTTTTTTTTCCATTAAGTAATCACTTTTATAATAGTGGTTTTAAAAGTCTTGATCAGTATTGCAAGTGACAAGGCAGTGAAAGGTTAGGTATAAAACAAATAAAACTAATGAATAAAGAACTGTCTGTATAATGTAGATCATGTGTTTATACAACTTTAATAAATTACTTAGGTCAAGGAATCGATTTCAGTTTTTAGTGTCCTGTCTACTTACAGTTACTTCTGGTTTCCTACTTTTTGTCACAGCATTCAACATTTTGCATAGCAATTGTCTATGTTATTGTCATTAATTATTATCTCAAATATTTATGGTGACAAGTTTTGCTCTAGAAAAGTGACTTTTATATTATTTAGCATCTTTCTTTTCTAAATCTAACCAATCTGAGTTACAGATAAAAGATTTATTCTCTCATCTTGTAATGGCATATTTGTTCAAGTATTCTAAATGATAGATTTGTTTGGGTGCAGGTGCTGTTGTGGCCGCTTGGTCAGACAACATGCTTGCTTTACTGCAAGTCTCGCCATGAAATACTCCGATGTGAAGCTAGGTGAGAACTGTGATCAGGAAATAGAAGAGTGGTCAGTGGAAAAACATACAGAACAATCCTCTACTGATGCTTATGGCGTCATCAACTTTCAAGGTGGCTCTCATTCTTACAGGGCTAAGGTATGTAAGGCAGTTAATTCTAAACTATGTCTTCTTACTTAAAATATCTTCATACAGATGGTGGATGCTTCGTTTAATTTCTAAAAGTGGAGGCTGAAGGATGAAAATGATGTTTGTCATATTGTGGCAAAACAGTGCCCTCTGTTATCATAGTATTTTTATCGTGATCTGAATTCTTTCTTATTTTCTTTATTTTTATTAAAACAGTCACTCAAATCTATCAGAATTAGTGGAATTCATGTACGAGTTTGCCTTCGTGTTGCAAATGGTGATGATGCCTAATCCTTTCAGCAAAACATTGCATTAATAATTCAGTGTCGTTGTTTCAGACATCATTAAAATACAGCTTACTCATCAGTGCTGCTGCTTACTCATAACTGTTAAATGTTTATAGAATCTGCTAACTAACATGTGCTATCTGAGCCTTCCTGAAAAATCATTTATAATTATGGACAGGTGAAATACGTGATTTTTCTAGTAGATTTGGTCAAAATTATTGCAGCATAATCAAACCTATCAGAACAGCCAAGTTTTTTGGGTGAAGGGTTAGTTAAAAACAGGTATGCCTGTAAGTGGAAGTTTTGGTAAACAGTTCTTCATTCGCAGGTTGCATTTGACAGAAAGGCTGGAAAACTGGAAATTCTGGCATGTGCTCCACAACTATTTTGTGAAGGGCTTTTAGTTGTGACGGAAATTAGTTAATGCTCATGCAATTCTATCCTTGCAGCTGATACAGTGTAGCTCCATCTGTGGCTCCAACTGAATAGCAGAGCCAATAGCAGGAGCAATCCAGTGCTCTAAATGAGGTATCTCTGGAGAGAAGGGCTCTTGGCAGAATTCTTTCCTGTTGGTAGTAGCAATGTGCTTGTTCCTTCATACCTATAGTATACCTTATTCCTTCATATCTATAGCATACCTTAAAATTGATGTAAATCCTTTTTTAGGAGCACAGAAATAGCAAGTTTCTTGTGGTTATTTCCGATGGCTGCTAGTGGGGTCGCTAAAAAGAAAGTTATTGGGATAGTGGTCTTTTCAGTTAGAACATTATCCAGATTGGGCTTAATTTCTGTGTGTTATCCCCCTCCTCTCTTGTACAGTATGTATCAAAGATGCAGAAGTAGTTGTAACTGATTGATAATCTACTTAATCTTACGCTGATAAGCACAGCAAGTTATGAAGTTCCTGTTATTGAAATTTCCTGTTAAAGAATTTAGATTTTCTTCCCATCAGGAACAGGGATGGAAAAGCTAGCAACTGTTTTTCTGTAAGAATTTTCACAAGAAAATGCAAGCCTCTCCCTATTAGGTAGCAAAAGTATTAATATTTATGAATTCCTTCAAATTTAGAAATGATCCAGCACTTCCTTTTTTTTTTTTTCCAAGGAGGATGTGCCAATGAGATGGAATAATGTGATCTTTCTGTAGTCATTACCTTTCTAGAACTTGCCTTCAAAACTGTTCATTGTCTTGTCCTTAATTTTGAAAGATGTAAAGTAAGAGTGCATATTTATTGCATTTGCCATGCTTTGAGAAGATAAATTACAATTTCCATACCCACGGATAGGGCAGTATGTCCTGAAATACATCCTGGTTCTTGTCTTTACTCATTTATTCTGTGGTGGTTTCCTTTATGAACGTATCAACTCTCTTCTTGTGTCTGCAGTATGTGCGATTATCATATGACACTAAACCTGAAGCTATTCTGCAGCTTATGCTTAAAGAATGGCAGATGGAGTTGCCAAAGCTTGTTATCTCTGTACATGGGGGCATGCAGAAATTTGAACTTCACCCACGCATCAAACAGTTGCTTGGCAAGGGTCTTATTAAAGCTGCAGTAACAACAGGAGCCTGGATTATAACTGGAGGAGTGAACACAGGTAAAGTACAAGTGAATGTGCACAGTTAAGAAGATTATAGTTTGTAAAAGCCAAAAGGCTAAATGAATGAGTAGCTACATCTTGAAGTAAATGTGGAATTTGATCAAGAGAAACCAAAATAATACATTTTGAACAAGTAGCAGGAAAAGCAATATGACTGGTGGTGGTGGTGTTGGGAGGGTTGGTTGGTTGGTTTCAGTTTTAGAAACTGCAAGAAGAAAAACTTGATTCAATTTCAACAAGTAGATGAGGGTTCTGAAGACTCTGTAGTTCTTCCTGGGCTAACACTTGCTGTGTTCACAGTACTTTGTCCTATTTTGATAGGTGTACTGTGGGCGCTTTTTCTTTTCTGTTGCATAAAATAGATTCCCAGAACCTTACGGACTGGCCCAATTAGCGAATGAAACAGTTGTATTTCTTAACAAGATGTGGCATTCAATACATTGAAATCCTTTTTGTGTTCAAACACTAACAGGTGTTGCAAAACATGTTGGTGATGCTCTAAGAGAACACGCTTCCAGATCATCTCGAAAGATTTGCACTATTGGGATTGCTCCATGGGGAGTGATTGAAAACAGAAATGACCTTGTTGGAAGAGATGTAAGGATAAATTACCTAACTGAAATGATTATTTGCCTGTTTTATTTTTTACAAATCTGCCCAAGAATTTTTTTTATTGCTTTGTATCTTTGAAGTGCTTGCTATAATATTAAAGTGCGTTGACATATGTGACTTATTGCTAGTTCGTTAGTGTAACAAGTTGCAGACTGCTAATGTAATAGGGAAGGAGCTTGTTCTTAAGTTCTGGATCTTATTTTTTTTCTCCTACTGATATTACTGAATCAAATAACAAAAATGCTGAAGTATTACAGAGAGCTCACATTTACAGAAGGTGATAAATTTTGATGTCTTTAAGGCTAATGTTTGTGAGAGCAATTTTTTACAAAGACACCTTTTCAAGGTACTTTTTTCTGTGCACTCTTTCAGAACAGAATTCTTTTCTGATAGTTGCGTGCTTTCTTGCATAAAACAAAGCTGCTGCAGCTCTTGGTGAATTCAAGCTTACATGTGTCAGTTCTTGCTGTGTCTAGAAATATTGTTGACTTTTACTGAGACCAATTTGAATCTCTGCAAGTAAAATGTATTGTCTGCTTGTGTTTAGGTGGTTGCTCCATATCAAACCTTGTTAAACCCACTAAGTAAACTAAATGTGCTAAATAATCTCCATTCCCATTTCATTCTGGTGGATGACGGAACAGTTGGGAAATACGGAGCAGAAGTTAAATTGCGGAGAGAACTGGAAAAAACTATAAATTTGCAGCGCATCCATGCAAGTAAGTAATTCTGGTCTGAGTGTTACTGTGCTTTAATGAATAAGGTGCTTTCATCAAGCATTTGAATAATAAATTAAAAAAAATACAAAAATCAGTCTGTTTTGTATGTTTTAAGTCTGGGTGGTTGTTCTGCAAATTTCAACTGCTGCTTTGGTCAGAGCTGAAAAAGCAGTCGGTGCAGATGACTAGCAATAGCTGTCCTGTGGCTGCTCAGTGCATTTAAATTAGCTTTATTTTAAAGCATGGGAATGATATTTTGAAAGTAATTACTTTTTTTCAAACTTACCGATGTGTGAAGCAGTGCAGACATAATATCTACCATTCTTAGTGCTTTTATGTAAATAAAAGTGACAACATAGTTAACTTTTGTGTGAATATATAACAATCTCTGTTAGTGTCTCTCCTGTAACTCTGGAGCTGAACCTTCTTTTGCTAGACCTGACAAAATGCTTTCAAGTCTTATGCTTAATTTTTTGCTGACAGTGGGTGAAAAAATGTGACTTACATATTAAAGCACTTTTTTTTTTTTTTTTAATGCACAACTTTATAGGAATTGGCCAAGGTGTACCTGTGGTAGCACTCGTATTTGAAGGGGGCCCCAATGTCATACTTACAGTTTTAGACTTCCTTCATGAAAGTCCTCCTGTGCCAGTGGTGGTATGTGAAGGAACAGGCAGAGCTGCAGACATACTGGCATACGTTCACAAGCAGACAGAGGAGGGAGGGTAAGTCCTAGCACTGCTAGCCAAACCAGCACGTAGATGGATTATACATAGATGGATTTCAAGAGCATTCTTTAAAGAATTGGTGCAAGAGCTTTATCCATGCAAAGACAAAAGCTGAAAGTGTGGAGTGTAACTTTGCATGTGACGTAGCTTTCCAAATTTGTTACAGTAACAGCTTTGGCTGATGATCAAGAATTCTTTTCTAGTTCTAGGCTCCTCCTACATACCTTGTCCCAGTTGCACTAAGTACTTGAGTATACTTACATTAACAATAGTTATTAAAGGTTAGGAAAAGCATGTGCACCTATGTCCTGAACTATGGGAAATGTCTCATGTGTAACTGAAGTGTGGCAATTTTGTTACACCATTGTGACTAGAAAGTCCCACTCTGTTCTAATGCTCTGTCTACTTCAACTGGATTAATTAAGTAAGGCACAGTAGCTCAAGTGAGAAATAAGATTAAGCATACACAGTAGACTTGCTCAACAAAAGTCAGAGCTGACCAGGCCTTCCAGAGTTATGAGAATAATACAGAGGATAACATTAACCAAACTGCTTGAAAGTATCTCTTGACTACATTGAGTAGAAATATTTTCATCCAGTTAGCTGTTGCTAAGTAACAACTTTTCTGAAAAGGAATTTGTTTCTGTACTTCTTCTGAGTAGTCTTAAAACTGAGCTTTTTACAGACTTCTGTTTAGTGTTGAAAACACTTATCTGTTTAAGCATAGGTTCAACAAGTAAAAGGGATATACTTGTGTTCCATGGTACATAGTGGCTTCTAGTTGGTTGTCAGACTTGCATTAATCCTTATATGTAATTGGGTCTTAGTTGCAAGGAATGCCTCAGACCCAGGAATGTAGAGCTGAAATGTAGCACTAAACCAAACAGTTTTGTCCATAATGAGTAAAGTCAGAAGCAGATCTGATTCAGAGGGGTGAGTGTGCAGTACTGTCAAAATACTTTAGTCAGCAATCTCTCAGATTTGGCTGTGGGAAAGAAAGGGAGAGAGCTTACTTACTTTTACGAAGCAATATTACAGTCATCAGCTAGGCAGCGTGTGCTTTGACACTGGAACAATGATGAGCTTATAGATTACAAGACTTGTTGTAGAATGGACATCTTGAAACAAATTAATATGTTGTGATTCCTACTGTTCATGTGTAACATGTTTTCATGTTCAATCTCAGGAATGTTCCTGAGGGTGCAGAGCCTGAAATCATTTCAACCATCAAAAAGACATTTAACTTTGGTCAAAGTGAAGCAGTTCATCTGTTTCAGACACTGCTGGAGTGCATGAAAAAAAAAGAACTTGTAAGTAGATCTTGCTATAGAAAAATCTTAGGCAAGGTAATGGCATTTGTGGATATAATATGAAGTTGTATCTCAGTGTTGTGTATGATCAAGTGTTATTCAAAATCATTACTGGTGGATCTCACCAATTATAGAAGATAGTCATTTTTTTGTGGGTAATCTATCTCATGATCAAGGGAGACTTTAATCTTTTAATTATTCCCAGTAATTCAAGTTTATTATTGTTTCCATGCCTGTTCGTTTTCTGCGTGCTGGATTGTTTTGTTCATAGCATGTATGTATTTTGTATGTGGGATATGGGATGCTTTCTCTTGTTTTGATATTTGAGAGCCTGTGATTTTTTTTTTTTCCCCTCTTAATTATTACAATACTAGCAAAGGGCTCCTATCATTTTATCACTAAAGCAAAAGCACTTAATAGAACTTCATATACAGCTAAAATTCAGATATTGATGTCTCATTTGGACATCATAACATGTTGTTCCAAGGTTTAAAATTGGTATAATCATCTAAACTTATTTGTTGGCAGGTTAATCTCATAACATAGGGTGAACTGAAGAAGTAAATAAAACACTAGGTGATGTTTATAGCCAGTGGATTATTGTAATCATACTGAGGGAAGAAGTTCAGGTTGGTTGAAAAGCGTAAGGGATTTTGTTTTTTGTCAGCTGATTGTCTTCTTGTCCTATACTACAGAGTGCACACTAAAGGTGAATTTAAATGGAGTGTAGACTTAAATTGCATTGAAGATAGACATAAAAATTTGGAGCTAATCCCTTTCTGAAAATCTGAAAATCAATTTTTAACATTTTTTAATCCATTTTACTGTTTTTAACAGATTACTGTCTTTCATATTGGGTCAGATGAACATCAGGACATAGACGTTGCAATACTTACAGCACTGTTAAAAGGTGAGACTCTTAGGTGCTTTTGGAATCTCCAGCTGTTCTTTCTTGGTGATTACATGATAATAAAAATCTGTAGTAATCTTTACTTTTGAAGAAAATAACTATCCACTGCTCTCATTTTTTAGTACCATAAACTTTCATAATTGATGAAATATAAACTGCATAACATCCAGACGTATTGCTTATTTTACAGGAAGAATGAATATTTATTACATTTTAATTAATTTTTTTCTTTGCTCTTGCTTCTTAAGGCACAAATGCATCTGCATTTGACCAGCTAGTTCTGACGCTCGCGTGGGATAGAGTTGACATTGCCAAAAATCATGTTTTTGTTTATGGACAACAATGGCTGGTATGTAAATGGCCTGGAATAAGCAGAATGGTATTTTCTAAGGGAGAAACTTAACTTGCTGTAAAGAAAGAATCTTTTGACTTCTGTAGAGAGATGCTGTAGAATATGGGCAGAGTTATTTTTAGACAGTAATTTTTTTCATACTTCATAGTCTTATAGCTGTATTGTCTTATAGCTATTATTGTAGTTGAAAATGGCCCAAAAATTTTAGGAATGTGTTAAATATTCTGAGCTAGAGAAGAAATGGTGCTGCAGAAGTTGAAAGCTGAATTGATGTTAGAGATATGCAATGATAGTTCTGGCCATTTGTCCTTCAAAGCGGTGGTGTAAATATTTGATGTCTTCATGTTTTTCATCCAATATCAGTAGGTGAGAAAAGCTTAACTACATTAAACCAAATTAGGCCAGCGTAGTACTATTGAGTGTCAGTAGGAGATATACGATCAGAGAAAACACTCAAGTCCTCATAATATTCTCTCATCCTGTAATTTGTGAAGCTCAGGGGATTTTCTGAACTGAATGTAGCCTTTGGCTTTTCAGACATATAGGATTTCCCTGTTCCGACTCTGGGGATAAATGAGTTTGATTTGTAATCTAAATATACTTCTGTGGTATGTCTGTGGTTCTGTGCTTGTAGGTTGGCTCTTTGGAACAGGCTATGTTAGATGCCCTTGTGATGGATAGAGTTGCATTTGTGAAACTTCTGATTGAAAATGGAGTAAGCATGCACAAGTTTCTTACAATTCCCAGGCTGGAAGAACTTTATAACACCGTAAGTGAATTGTTGGTCATTCTTTTTGTATTTTTATTTTAGCTAACATTCAAAAATTTGGGGCTTTTACTGTGGTATACTCATGTTGTCTCTGCACTCTAATTTTTTTTTCTCCTCTTCTTTTTTTATAAAGAAACAAGGCCCAACCAACCCAACACTCTTCCATCTTGTTCGAGATGTCAAACAGGTATGCTGTATTGTAAAAATCTGTCAAACTAAACCAGGTTTATTATTATTTATTATGTTTGACTGTCAATTGAATCTCGGCTTTACTAATTAGATTTTGCTGAAGCAACAAACTGTGTCTGCAGTCATGCTTTTGTTTCCAATATTTGTAGTTGTGTGGAGTATGTGTGTTATATAATATAAGTATTGCCTTTTTCATCTTAGTTGTGATTGCTTTGCTTTTTGAGAGTTTGGAAGCTGATAAAAGACAAAAAACCAATGCATGACCCCTAGCATCTAACCTCATAGGAGAAATTGTACAGAAGAGAAGCTATAAGCTTGTCTTTTCTGAAACTGGTAAATATTGAACCATGTAGATGCTTTGTGTCTTTTAAATATAAAAATTATTTTGTTTTTATTTGTTTATATTTAGACTTGTAATGTTTAGGAACATTCTAGGCAAGTTTAAATTGAGATTATAATTTGCAAAACTGAAAATACCTTTTGTATTCTTAGGGAAATCTTCCTCCTGGTTATAAAATCAACCTGATTGATGTGGGGCTGGTTATTGAATATTTGATGGGAGGAACCTACAGATGCACCTACACAAGAAAGCGCTTTAGAGCTATATACAATAGTCTCAGTGGGAACAATCGGGTATGTGGCAACTGGGTACCAAGGCATGCTGATTTGTTTGTACATAATTAAAAAAACTAGATATTTTTGTGAAAAATTGGAGCTATATTATTTTGTTCTTTTCATCAAGGGACTGATTCTCTTATAGGCTGTGATACAACATATGAGGGCAACTGGTAGCTATTTGCAATGAGAACAAAAAATTTTTTATCACTTTTCTTTCTTACTCCAGCATATCCAAATTTCTTCTGGTATTTTCTCTCTTCCTAGAGGGGAAGAATGGGTGCCAAACACGCAGATTCCCTTGGGCGTGGGATGCAGATACTGTAACTTCTTGGCAGTTACACTAATTGCTTTACTATTTTGTGAGTTTAAAATAAATAAATAATCCTTCTTACGTAACCGACGAGAACGCTAATTGTTGCTGTTATATAAATTGGTCACTGTTTAATTGCTCAACTTAGTATCTAGCTGTAAACAGCTTGTTATATACTGCTTAATAAGTAGATGTAAAGAAAACAAGCCAAACCTCTTCCTATTATTTTTGCTACAGCGATCTGGGCGAAATCCTTCAAACACTACTCCTCAGCTGTGTAAAAGCCATGAGTCTTTTGGCAACAGGGCAGACAAAAAGGAAAAGATGCGACATAATCACTTCATCAAAACAGCACAGCCATACAAACCAAAGGTACAGATGTTTAAGGGGAAAGTATGTGATTTAATTTTAAGCAGTTAAGAGTGGAGAATCTGGTTGAAATCCAAGTGCAGTAGCAGCAGTTCTACTGACTTCAGTAAAACTGGGGTTTCAGCCTTTTGTACTTGCTAATGAACTGTCTAGCACACTTATAGCATTCTGTAAGTAATGTCTGTATTAGTCTTCCAGATAATCTCTGATGTGCTAGTGAGCAAAAAGCTCATCTTTGGAACAGTTCTGTTACTGGGGGGAACCTACATGATTTTATAGATGAAGCAAG